CTTTCATTGTGCTCCAATGCAAACTTAAATGTACCACAATATATTAAATTGCTATGCAGTTTACTGCGGCTCAGCCATTTCATCTGGTACACAGCTTCGTACCAACTGAATAAATTACTTAATCACTCTGGTTATTAACAGAATAAATCAATTTCCTAATCTACATTTCCAGGTCTTAAAGCAGTTCTGTGTAGACTCAGAATAATGTAATAGACCTCCATCCATCCCAGTTTCCCATCTGCCTTTTATAGAACTGATTCCACGTAAGCAGTGCTAGATACTAGTAGCCAGTGCAATCATAACCTTTACATTGAGGGCAAGAACTACAGGAACTTCAACTCTCTGAACTTCTTAGGTATCTAACATATGGTGGGCTCACCCAAAAACAACTTGCACACAGTAGGATCATAACCAAAAAAGGAATCATCACTCCTGGTTTGGGAGAGAGAAGGTAAAGGACATACAGCTCAACATGCAAAGCAGTTCAACAGAAGTGGCACTGAGCAGCATTAAAAGACATGATAGCTTGACAGTTATAACTGGAACTCCTATCTCAAGAGTGTGAGTATCAACCTCAGACTGTTAAGAGGTGGGGCGCAAACCCCAAACAGGTTGTGACTTCTATACTTAGACTTCACCAACCACGTATGAAGTGTAAACTCCTCAAGTACTATAACAGCCTAACCATGGAGTCACTGACAATCCCCTTTGGTCTGTCTTGACACCTAGCCAAGTTTGCCTTTGTGATAGATGGCCCCTTACACCAAAAATCACAACAAGATTCGGGTTACTCCCAGTCCGAAAGGACCAGTCACTTACCCCAAGTCAATTGCACTTTAGATCTTACACCAAAGCCAACACTAGAATAAACTAATTAAAGATTTATTAGCTAAGAGAAGGAAATAAGAGTTATTTACAAGGTTAAGCCAGGTAAACATACACACACAAATGAGTTGCAGTCTTGGATCCCAAGAGGTGACAGAAGCTGCTGTAATATGCAAGCTCTATAGGGCTAACCAAGGCTAAGCATTCATTGATTATGCTTAGAAATCTTTGCCCCTCAGAATCCAAGCAGTAGAAAGATCCAGTTTCTTCTTGTCAAGGATTGTTATTCCCTTCCTCCCAGAGTTCAAGGTGAGGGGATGAGTTCTCATGCACGGCTCTTCTTCATGGAGGGTGGGGAGGAATGCAATACACAAAGTCTTTGTTCTTTGATGTTTCAAATGATTCATTTGGTTTCAATGGGCTTTTTTGGTGGGCAGGACCTAATACCTTCTCTAGGAAGCCAGCACTTTAATGCTTCTTTCCTGTTTGAGGAATAACAGTTACAGAGGATTACAATGCAAATACTCAATATAACCTTATAACATGGGGGTACAGATGTTATAAGTGAGATTACTACATGCAGCATACTATAATTCTAAACACATCTGTGGCAGGGCGACAGCTCATCGGTGCGGTGCCTCCTGCTGGTCATCCTGGGAATTAGCTCTTCCAGCCCAGAGCGCCCTCTGCAGGCCGATGTCTCACCTGCTGCTGGCCCCCGTGTCCCTCCCAGGGCCCTGGGGCCCCTCTACATCAGGGTTCTGTGCCCGGCAGTAACTCGCAATCTGGGTCTCCCCACCCAGAGGAACCCCCAACCCTCTATCCCCACCTTGCCTCAGTGGCTACTGCCAGTCTCCATTTAGTCCCCGCTCACTGGGGCAGACGGCAGTCTGTAAACTACTCATCATCAGCAAGGGGGGTTGGACCAGCTACCTCTGCCTGTTCCTGGGCTGCCTCTCTGCAGCCCTAGTACCCTTTGTGGGTCCTTAATTCAGCCTGCAGCCTGGTACTTAGCTAGGCTCGAGCTCCCCAGCTCCCTCTGCCCTTCCCCGGCACAGCTCCACCCTAGGTACCCTCCTCAGCTTCCCAGGCAGCCAGGTCCTTCTCTCTTTAATAAGCTAGAGAGAGTGTCTTCCAGTCTCTGGCCCTCAGCCCTCTTACAGGGCCAGCCGTGGCCTGATTGGGGCGTGGCCCCACCTGTGGCTGCTTCCCCCAATCAGCCTAGCTTTTCCCTGCTGCAGCCCTCTCCCAGGGCTGTTTTATGTCCTTCAGGACAGGAGCGGGGTGACCACCACACCACAACATCCTTATAAACTTAACATCTGTTTTAACAGTGCTAACACATAGGTAAGCCATGCTGGTTTCCAGCTATATATTGGTCAGTGCTGAGTTGAGGCGTAGGTCTGCCAGTATCACAATAGCCCCTTAGGGTAATATGGATGACCCCTTTTAGTCTAAATCTGTTTGAATATCTGTGGGCCCATGCAGTCTCCAGAGGAAACACATTTTAATAATAAAAACTCTTCCCAGTAGGGATTCTCCAGTCTCAAGGACCTATCTGTCTGAATAGGCAATCCCCGCCCCCCTCCGCCCCCCCGACCACACACACACACACTCCCTGCTTTTCTAGATGGAAACTGCTGCTATGTCAACCTGATCTCCTTCCTAAAGGCTGGAACACCAAGCCACTGCCCACTTGTGGTAAGACATCAGGCCCACTCACTCCCACTGATGACTAGAACTCAAGTCTAATCTGAGTCTCTCAGTGACATTTTGATCGCTTGAACCTTTGGGCTGCAAGCCTCAGTTCTCTCCACACAGGTTCAGGCAGGTTACAGTACCTTAACTGATTATTAAAATGAGATAGCTCCTTTTTAAATCTGGGCTCTCACCACTGAATGTCATATAGGGCAAGCACCAAATGTCATATGGGGAGGGAATCCCTTTCTCTCTGGAGGCATCTGATTCCAAGCCTCTCCTCCTCCACTGATATGAGCTGCGGGAGAAACAGCAGAACTCCTAGCACCTGCAATGGTGCAAGGTTAGATATAAAATAGCAGTATCTCTTTAAGCAAACAAGATAGCTACTAGAGCAAGTCAGCCTTTTCCCTGCTCACAGGTCTCAAAGCACGCTCATTTTCTGCATTAATCAATCTCTTTAACAAACAGATGCAGCTTGTCTACTCTACACACAGTGTTTATATGACAGAGCTGTCCACTAAATGTTTCATGAGTACACAAAGTAAGCAAAGAAAAGTATAGAGGTGTGTGCTTATTTATTTCAATTATCATTTCCATTTTAAAAGCATTATGGAATTATTTTTGAGGAGATAGTTTTCTCCCCCTGGGGACAAAACAATATAGTCCTCCTCAGCATGCTTTGCAAGTGACCTCTTTCCAAATTATTAGGGTATGTCTAAGCTGCAATCAGAGGTGTGACTGTAGCTGGTGTAGATATACCCCAGCTCACTTTGATAGAGGTACTAGAATAACAGTAGCAGTGAAACTGCAGTAGCACAGGTGGCAATACAGCCAAAGTACCCAGGCTCCCAGATAGGATTGTACATCCTGTGCTCCTGCAGCTTCACTGCTACTCTTACCGGAGCTAGCTAGATCAAATGTGGCAGTCATACCTATTACTCCAGGGTATGCATACTCTTAGAAAGGGATGTTCTATTGGGACATATTGCATATCTTGACCCTGTTATGCCACTCGGTGCAAAAGAAGTCAGAAAGCAACTGGAGCTGCTCAGCTTAGAATTCTCTTGGGAAGGAGAAGCTCTCAGTGAGTGCAGAAGCAGTGTACATGGTTCCTATCCCAGGTGCTCCCTTCTCCTGCGTAAGGGGTGGTCAGAGGCAGATAAGGGAAAGGCTGGATCACCACTGCACTGGAGCAATCCCAAGGTGGTGTATGATTATAGCCAGCAAGTGTAAGTTAGAGCCTGCCAGGGATCAGAGCCAGCACAGATCTGCCATGAGAACTGGGAGCCATAAATGGCTCCCCAAAAGCTCCTCCCGCACTACAAGAGAGAATCAGGACCAGTATGTTTTATCTTCTGTGAGATTATTAGTTAATGTTGTACAGTAATTGGTGCATATAGATCAAAGCACTATATGCATTTTATGTAATACTATGTTCATGTCACATTCAACTTTAGATTGCCACAATCTGATGTAAATAATTTAAATCATGCTACTGGAAATGAGATACAATAATCTAATGATTCATTCCCCTCTCCTCCCATAGAATAAATTAGGCCCTGAAAATTTTCTCTTTCAATATGCTTATAAACTAAAAATGTGCAATTACTGTAATCAAGCCAAATTTATGTTTGTTAATTATACTCTCTCAGCAAAGTATAAGTGTTGGACATTCCCCCTCAGAATTCTTTAATGTTAATTCCTTCCAAGGCATTTCACCCACATTTAACAATACCACTGCTCAAAGTATTCATGCTCCCGCTGCAATAAAATCTCCAGATTTTATGTAGAATGAATGCTGAAATTATCCCTTGCTCTTGATAATTATGCCTTATGAACTGATAATTATGCCTTGTGGTGTTCTGTTCTGCATTCATTAAAAATATATATAAATTTGAGAACTATCATTCTCTCACAGTACTAAAATATACCTTCTGACCAATGTTTTCAGAAGTGGCCACTACATTGGAGTGCCTCAGTTTTTGACTAGTCTATACCTTAAACATTTCAAATTGAGGATTTAATATCAGTGAATATCAGTGAAGTGGGTCAGCATGGGTTTTATACTGTATGTTATGCTACGGTGTTCCTCCTGAGGGCCTCCCCAACCTCCTATTGTTCTCCACTTATTTTTTCAATGAGGATTGATTTGCCCCATCTCCATAAGAAGTTCCACTTCCTCAGCCTGTGAAACTACTGAGATCTACACAAATCTCAGGGTGCCCAATGGAGACAAGGGACATCCACATGCATGGCTTTTAGCTCCCCTCTGCCATGCATCTCAGCAGTTCCCACTTGCCTCTGGATGGAAAGACAGTTGAAGAACTTGTGCTTGCAGATCTCCCTGTCCTGATCATAAATGATCTTACAGACTCCCCAACTGCAGGAAGTGAAACTTCCCCTAGTGTGCAGAAGAACACAGTGTATGTTGATAAAGCATCAGACAGTATTTACTTCCACGACTTTTACCTGTGGAGACCAGCCAAGTCCAACACAACCTCACAGCCACAACTGTCAGGGCTTTCTCCGGCTCCACCGAGCCAGAGCCAGTGGAAGGGCTGCTGTTGGGTGAAAAGGAAAAGATGAAGATGTTGCAGATGTAAAATCTCTCATGTAGATACTGGTTCCCTCCATGTGTAGAAGCAGAAGGGAGCATGGGCTCATTCTCAGCTCTTGAGGACAGGAACTGTGTCCTGCAATATGTCTGTAGAGCACCTAACACAAAAGAGCCCTGATTCTGACTGAGATCACTAAATCCTACTGCTATAATAGAAACAATTATCATTTTAATACATTTGGTTGTGAATTAATATTTGGCAATTCTCTTTGTCAGAGGCAGACTACAAATGGTTAACAAAAATTAATTAACAGGGAAAGGTCAGATGGAGTACAGCTATCACATACCCAAGACCTATATTGTTAGGCTACAGCTCAGTTTAAATTTATGGTACCACACTCCCATTTATCTTTAGCTAATATGAGAGTGCATAGCACTGGTTATGATGTTAGTCCAGAATACAAAGATTAAAAGCTATAAGAAGATGTGGGTGATGTTTTGGATTGGACTAACAAGAAATAAAATAGACTAGTTTTCAATAATCACACTCTCTCTGGGCCATGGAAAACAGACTGGAATTTATTTTAATTACATAATCTCCCTTTAATCTAATGGGCCTTAAATTTAAATCTGAGGCATGAATTAACAACTCCCCACTATGGCTCTGTCAGGGTTCCCTCCCCACTCTGAACTCTGGGGTACAGATGTGGAACCCGCATGAAAGACCCCCTAAGCTTATTTCTACCAGCTTAGGTTAAAAACTTCCCCAAGGCACAAATTCTTCCTTGTCCTTGGATGGTATTGCTGCCACCACCAAGTGAGTTAGACAAAGATTCAGGAAAAGGACCACTTGGAGTTCCTGTTTCCCCAAAATATCCCTGCAAGCCCCTTCATCTCCTTTCCTGGGGAGGCTTGAGAATAATATACCAACCAAATAGGTAAACAAGGTGAGCACAGACTAGACCAGGGGTCGGCAACGTTCAGCACGCGGCTCGCCAGGGTAAGCACCCTGGCGGGCCGGGCCAGTTTATTTACCTGCTGACGCGGCCAGGTTTGGCCGATCGCGGCCTCCACTGGCTGCGGTTCGCCGTCCCGGGCCAATGGGGGCGGCGAGAAGCCATGGTGAGCACATCG